CGCGCGCGCTCGCTCTCTCTCCCTCTCTCTCTCGCGCGCGCTCGCTCTCTCTCTCTCTCTCTCTCTCTCGCGCGCTCGCTCTCTCTCCCTCCCTCTCCCTCTCTCGACGCGCTCTCTCTCTCGCGCGCGCTCGCTGTCTCTCCCTCTCTCTCGCGCGCGCTTGCTCTCTCTCTCTGGCTCCTCCTCTCCCTCTCTCGCTCTCGTTCTCCTCCCCCTCTCTCTCGCGCGCGCTCGCTCTCTCTCCCTCTCTCTCTCGCGCGCGCTCGCTCTCTCTCTCTCTCTCTCTCTCTGTGCAGACAGGTTGAAGGAAGCGGCGGGGACTCAGACAGGTTGAAGGACCCGATCATCACGCGAAGAGCAGAACGACAACCTCGTCGCTTCTCTCGCCAGGGGGCGCCGATGCTGCCTGCCGTCACCGATTGACGCGCATCACGCTCGCTATCACGGACGCACGTGTCCACCACCAGAGGTCTCTCTCGTGTCAACGATCGCCGACGCAGCACGCCACCAGGGGTCTCTCGTGTCAACGATCGCCGACGCAGCACGCCACCAGGGGTCTCTCGTGTCAACGATCGCCGACGCAGCACGCCACCAGGGGTCTCTTGTGTCAACGATCGCCGACGCAGCACGCCACCAGGGGTCTCTCGTGCTTCGACGTGGCAACCCGTCCGTGACCTTGAACACGACCCTTCGATGCAACGCGCCGCAAACGACCGGAGACGCAGCAGCCTGCCACCAGGTGGCCTCGCCGGCGCATCGTCGTAGCGACTGCGGCGTCTGACCAGCAGCATCATCAGCAGCGGTCGTCGGCGGCGACGATGTCTCGTTGTTTCGCGTGTCTGTGTGTCGCCATAGTGCTGCAGTGCCTCGGCATCGAGTCCGGGGCCGTGCGTCTACTCCCCGTCTACTGGAACGCGTCGAACCCGATCTTCCGTCGCGACAACACCGACCACGTGTTTGACGTTGCCATCGGCGACGCGCTGGACATCGTCTGCCCGCGCTACCCGCACGACTTCCCGGCGGAGGACGCGGAATACCACGTCGTGTACCAGGTGTCGCGCGAGGACTACTCAGCGTGCCGCGTCACGCCGGGCGCCGCGGCAACGAGGCAGCTGCTCGTCTGCAACCGGCCGCACGAGCAGCGCACGTACACGCTGTCGTTCCGCGAGTTCACGCCCGTGCCGCGCGGGCTCGAGTACCGGCGCGGCGCCGACTACTACTACCTGTCCACGTCTAGTGGCGCCATCTCTGGGATGCACGAGCGCAGCGGCGGCGCGTGCGCGGAACACAACATGCGCGTCGTGTTCAAGGTCTGCTGCGAAGCGACGACGACGACGACGACGACGACGGTGGCGCCCCCGCCGCGGCGGAGCGCCGCGCGGGACAATGCGACGATCGCGGCGCCGTCGCGGCACGACGTGACTGCCGAGGGCGTCGCGGCGACGACGAACGCTCTTGTGTTTTCGACGACGAAGAAGTCGCGAGCGGCGCCGGACTCGCACAATGACGTTCTCGCGCGGAAAGCTGCGGCGGCGTTCCTGAACGCGGCGAGGCCGGTGGCGCCATCTATAGCGCTGGTGTGCGTGGCGATCGCTCGCGCGCTGCTAGCGCATGCATAGAACATGGACGTCGTCGCCCGCCATCTACGCACATCCATGTATTTATGACGAGACTGTGGCGCCCCCACCGTGAAACAAGTGAGCGTGTAAATGTGGCCTGTAAATTTTGACGCGCTGATATTCGTCAGGACGGATAATCTTCTGTACAGAGAGTGAACGAACGTGTGCTATATTATTTCATGGAATTCCTCACGTGTGAGCGTTACCGTGGGAACAAGAGGACAGCGTTACATATTCGCAGACGCCTGCAAACTTTCTGTGCGTACGCCGCGTTCAAACGACGAGAATCGCACGCAAACGGAAAATTCTACAAGCACGTGATTATTAACACGGTCGTGTACGTGTGAATGAGTGGGGTGTGAGGGAGATTGAAGGGGAGGGGCCGAGCCCCCAGTACTGGTTCGTGTACGTGTGAAAGAAGGGGAGAGGGGGGAGAGTGATAGGGCCTATCCCCCAGTAAAGTTCGTGTGCGTGTGAAAGAGGGGGAGAGGGAGAGTGAGGGGCCTAGCCCCCAGTTATGTTCGTGTGCGTGTGAATGAGTGGGGAGAGTGAGGGGGCCTAGCCCAATACGGTTCGGTGTTTTACCGCGTTTTATTGCTAACGGTGTGTCAACGACAATGAGATCACAGGCCCCTGTGCGTGAGATTTTAAACCCTGACAGCATTCGCCCACCTCCGCCTCGGTGCGGGGTGTGTGTGTGGGGGGGGGAGGGAGAATTTCGGGCTTGAAGTCAGAAATCAATAGATGTTACGATAATTTATATGACATGCTTGAGTTGCTGCGCATGCGTGACACTGCCAAGCACTGTCACACTTGTATGTATGTATAACTGTATTGTGAAAGCACTGTCAATATAATTTTTTGAATGGACAAAAAATATTGCTTACTCATTGTCTGCATGATTCGTGTCAATATTAGCATATGGTAAATATTACACCGTCCACTCCCATTATATCTCTCTCTCTCTCTCTCTCTCTCTCTCTCTCTCTCTCTCTCTCTCTCTCTCTCGCTCTATC